CAACCCTGAGCCAGTGAGATTTGAACAGCCGAACTGCAGAACTGCAGTCAGATGAAGTAGCCTGCAGTGCTGCATTTAACCACTGTGCCATCTCCAAATTCAATGGTATGCAAGGAAATACTTGGCAGACAGTCTCTGAGATTCACAGATAGATCTTCATACTCCTGAAACAACTAAAGAATGAACAAATTGTTTCCTGCGAAAGCCACTCCCCTTTCACTCCTCTTTTATTTCCTATGGGAGGGGCCATTCACCATCCACCTGTGGCTTTACTCCCAAGTCAACCCTGATGTCTTAGCTGTTCTTTTCTTCTGGCAGCTCTGCACACACGCACACTGGGAACAGGCACCAGCTGTTCCTCTGCTTCACTGCTGTCTAGCTCCAAAGGCAGCTGAGAACTGCCAGATGGCCTTGGCCCCATCTCTGCCTCTGATGTAGACCCCTTGTTTGAGCCTTCCCCAGCCTCCAGGACTGGCCCATACTCTCCCCAACCTCCTCACTGTCCAACCTGCCGCCACTCTGCTGGCTGTTGGTGGGCCACAACTACTACTACTATATTAAGCTGGGAGAGGATTACAATACCTGTAAAATTGTTTCCCTTCTATTATATAATCTTTTGGCATTTCACTGTTGGAAGCAAAATACTGAATCAGAATTGCTTGGAACTCTTTGGTGAAAGGCAGCTGAGTTTTTCAGATGTCCTTATATGCCCTGGCAATCTGATTACCCACAAGAAAAGAATGGCTGGTCATAAATCAAGACATGCATCTGATTTATCAGAATTATGTATCTATACTCCCATATAAAATATGCATATGTTATGGACCAAGGAGTTGTTGATCTATTTTCTATGAACTTTAAATTTTCTCAGCTCCAGCTATTTTTTATTTAGTTTTTTGACTGTCACAAATTTAAATCTGACTGCATTAATAAAATAAGGCAACTCTAAATTGTATCTATTACCCTGGGAGTCTCTTTCTCAATGTCAATTTATAAGAATGATTTTTTTTCAATCTGCTGTGAAATGAAAGTAATTTGTATGTGTTTAAAATAATTATCATTAATTCAAAGGTTAGAGCAGAAGCATATGATTTCATGATAGAATTTGATTTTCAGTTAGCACAGAAATCTTAAATGCAACTACATATAGTTAGCAAGCTGGGGATTAAAAGTTAGCATAATGTGTATATAACCAGTTGTGGCTTTCTTAATAATCTTTGGTTAAACAAACTGTGGCTTAACACAATGTGCCAGTCCTGTCAAAGTAGAATTATATCTAGCATCAATGTCTATTAGTTTAGCATACATTACCCATATTTTTCTTCTTTTTAACCCTTTTTAATTTTGCATTCATCACTTCAGTGAATAGTTGAACTTCAATCCAAGTTCAAATATACTATATGTATATATAGTAATGCAGTATGATACAACAGAAGTTATTTCCACTAAATCTTTCTGTATATAAACAGATTACAGCACAGTTTAGGTATACTAATTGGATATAAGAGTGTAGCCAAATGTAATTGTTCATTCAAATTGATAGAATTAATCTTTATGGTTTTTACTTGTTGGCTATAAATATATGCACTTCCTTTGTCTGAAAATAATTTTTTTCTATTATGTATTCCTATCTTGCCCATATATTTCACTTATTTATTTATAAAAACAAAAGGAAAATTTTTTACTCCTTAATTCCCAAAGTGAAATTGGATCTGACTGGGGAGAAGAGGTTAGTTTTCATATTATAAGTTTTCCACACTGCAGTATCTTTGGTTTAATAAGTTCTGAAGAAAAAAAATGAAATACTTCAGATGATACTTTATGCTTTCATTCCTAGTACCACAATTATCTCTTTCAACATATTTCTTAACTTTTCCCCACTATTTATAAGACTTGTACCAGCACTTACTGTACTGCGTTAGGTATTCCAAAGATAAAAGGAAATTATTTTTAGCTCTATCTGTGAATATTCTCTTTCGAAAGGTATTTTTTAAACTTCCATTTGAACCACTGACACATGGCTTCCTGGTTTTATGGTGGGAGTATCTAACTGTGTCAACTTTCATGCTAAAGTAAATAGAGGCAATGCATTTTTAAGTGGCTGAAGGAAGAAAAATCAGTTTGCCCAATCCATGGTGTTACCCAATGCATTGGAAATAAATAACATTGTCACATTAAATGTGATAGTGCTAGCAAAATGATTTAGATGTACCTAGATGGATTTGTAAGCAGCACAAACAAGAGTTCATCAGCTGGATCTGTAACACACATTTTCAGCAGATAAATCCTTGCCATTAAAAAAAAATTAATCCTGCCATGTCTTTGAATTGTAGGGGCATAGATAAACTAATGTTGATGCAGTAGATATCTTGGGTGCAGTTTGTATTTTTAATATATGTGCTTTGTTTACCTGTTGTTATTGAATCAACATTTGTGGGGCTATGTTTAAATATTTGTCAACCCAATTTAGGGTTGAGGTGGAGTGGGCTTGGGTGAGGGATATGGGTGGAACATGGTGTATATGTGACAGGTGGCATAAGGCCAAGAAAGGCTCTATATACACTCTGCCAAACTATAAGGATATATAAACATCTTAACAGGTTTGAAGGTGTGTTAAAAATATAGGTACTGCTTTCATTTGATGCTTGTGTTCTAAGTAATAATAGATTTGGCATTTGGTATTTCTAATCTATACCATATTTTTATTCACTCTGGCAAGGAGTTAAGAACACAAAGCTTAATTTAGAGGGATGAACCTTCGGATCTATGCTATAAGATAGGAGAGATAAACAAAGCATTTAAAACAACTGGTACATATAGAATTTTGAAAACAGGATGTGTGCACTCTCACAAAATCACAAATTAGGGATGGGAGTTACCCACTATGAATGGCTGCCATTTATTTAGAATTTTCAAATTTAGTCAATAGTATAGAATAACAGAATTAAAAGGGACCTTGGAGTCCAACCCTCTGCCTAGGCAGGAAAACCTAGGCAGAGGGTTGGACTAGAGGGTTGGACTAGGCAGAAAATCTTAGACAAATGGTTATCCAATCTCTTCTTAAAAACTTCCAGTGTTGAAGCATTCACAACTTCTGGAGGCACGTTGTTCCACTGGTTAATTGTTCTAACTGTCAGGAAATTTCTCTTTAGCTCTTCTCTCCTTGATTAGTTTCCATCCATTGTGTCTTGTCCTGCCTCAGATGCTTTGGAGAATAGCTTGACTTCCTCTTCTTTGTGGTAGCCCCTGAGATATCAGAACACTGCTATCATGCCACCCCAAGTCCTTCTTTTCATCAGACTAAACATTCCCAAATCCAGCAATCATTCTTTATATGTTTTAGCTCCAGTCCCCTAATCATCTTTGGTTTTTTATTTATTTACCAACCATCTTATCTCAAGGTAACTCAAGATCATGGTGGGTGTGCAAAGTTATGACTTTCTTCCTTTCAAAAAATTACCATTTCAGTTGGTCTTTTTTCTGGGTAGATACAAATACTTATTAACATAGCAATTCTTTATTTATTTTAGATTTCACACTTCTTAAGCACCCTCCACCCCAATCTCCCTCAGGCAGCTTCTACTTTGCAGCCACATTTGTTTTCTAGGGATGCTTATGTACCCTAATGCATTTGGTAAATAAATGTTTTTAAAAGTAGGCCCTTTAGCAGCATTTAGAGATTAATTGTCACTTTTCATTGTTTTTTTTAAAATAAAAACATATTTTAAAAATTGAAATCTAGTGATAAGGAAGCAGTTTGGTTGGATAGAAAAAGTTATATTCACCAGTACGTTAGCTCTACCCCTGCTTCTTAAATTTGGATGTTAAGAAGGAGAGAAAGTAATAAAAAGATTCAGAGTTAAAACTTAATTTTCAATCTTCAGATAGCTATTTCTACCAAAAGCAAAGAGCAGTTGCTGAAATGACATATCACTGAACTGAAGAAATCTTATTTTAAACAAGATTTATTTAAGAAAATAAATTAAAAAAACAAATGTATAAATACAAATATGCAAAGTTGTAAATAAAATATCCCATTTTCACATTTCTTCTATGCAATCAATGAAAAGTCATAGGCTCAGGGTAAAGTAACAAACACTGGCATCTGATATCTATGAAGCAAGCTCATATAAAAAAATATGAACAAACAAAAAGTGGTGGCAAGGACCCCAAATCTATTAAAATTATGAAAAGTCATTTGCTTAACATAAAAAAAATACAGTAATGGCACTTCTCATGTCTATAAAGGGTCACTAAATTCTGTACATCATAGAAAAATCCTTCTTTTCAGTAATTGCTTGTCTAATCCTCAAACAATACTCAGGGGGTTAAGTTGATTGAGAGGTATATGATGAAAGTTTTTAGATAGCTCGTTCTAATTCATTTAGCATTTTAAAGGCTAAATTAGTGCACAGCCTCCTGGGTTTTTTTCTCCATCAATATTCAAAATTCAATTGGATGAAAGAGAATTTGCTTTAACTCTTATTTCAAAGAAATTTGAAGAATTTCTCCCATAGTCTAATACTCTTGCATTTATACACTTAAATACTTGAAATGGTATCCCGTTTTTCACCATACAAACCTCTCTTTAGCAATCAGCAATTTCCCACTTAAGACCCAATCTCCATGAGTAAGGATTTTTAAAATGCTACCATTCTACTTAACAGTGGCAGTTATATTAGGCACGAGTTTTGCTTTCTTTTCAGAGGAAGTCCACATGCAATACAACATAGTCCAGTAATCCATCTTGGTATGCAATTCAGCTAGTATGGAACACCATTTCAAGTGTACGTCTTTCTGAAAAAGGAAGTTGCTGATCCACCACACAAAACTGATGAAAGTCACTTTAAGCTTCAGATACTATCTGGCCTTTTATCCACCTAACAAGATCCAAACGTGTGCCATAGTACTTCAAGCTGGGATGAAATACTTGAAGAAAACTACAGGATTTGATGTCCACATTTAGAATCCACTTGAGTTCATAGACAATTGCCAAATTCTTAGTAAAATTGTATCTTGCATCCCATAAACTAGCAATTTCCATATCTCTCCAAAGACTTCATTGAAACTTCATTTATAGCAAGGAAGAACTCTTTTTAAGAAATGCCTTACATTGATTGTGAGCGTCTCCCTGAATTGATCCCCCATTAAGAAATAAAAGAAGGGATTAATTACACTGTTCAAGAAGGCAATAGGTCTTGTTATTGTGTAAAGAGCTTTAATCAGGTTCTCTGTGCATTTGGAAGGCTCCCAGAACCATGTTCGGGAGGCAATTCTAACATTGCGCATGATGTGATAGGGAGAAAAGAGAAGTGAGAAGATACTCACTGCCATAATGATTAGCACAAGAGGCTTCTCAAGGGACAGAGCGGTGGTGAACTGCAAACTGTGGTTTACAAGGAGAGCACGAGTCTTTATGTAGAAAACCCACATAATGCACAATGGGATTATATACCCAGTGACTGTTAAGATCAGGCTGTAGATCAGGCTGTAGTGTGCATCTCCTGAACTTGCGTAATCTAAACATTGGCTACTGTTGCTGTTATTCTTAGAGGTGATGAAGTAGTATATAGGACACAGTTCCAACATAATCCAGATCCATATGGCTACTGAGAAAACAATAGCCGTGGCTCTCTTCTGCAGAAAGTGATTTTTGAAGGGATACTTCATGAGCAGATACCTGTCAATACTTATAAATGTCATGAAAAGGATGCTTGTGTACAAATTAAAGAATAGGATAGTTCTGTTAAATTGGCACCAAATGTTCTCCTCTGTTCCTTTGGAATAACTTGACACAAGCCATGGGAGCGTGCAAAGGAAAGATAAATCTGACAGGATTAAGTTGATCAAGTAGATGTTGCTACTTTTCCAGGTCTTCCAGTAGAAAAGTGAACCCAAACCAACAACAACATTTACAGTGAAACCAAAGATGAATTCAAGAGAGTACATGGTGGTAAGGTAATATTTTTCCAGGTGGTCAGGTAGCTTCATGCATTCTCTGGTGTCATTTTTGTCCTGAAAATATAAAACTGATGTAAATAATGATATATGTATATTTTAAAAAGGTATTTATTTTATTATTCTGTAGATTCTCAGTCATCCAGGTCATGGTTGTCCCAAAGTTGCTATTTATGGAGGCAACGGTGCTTTCTTATTTATTTTATTGTTTTATCTTGTGAACAGTTGATCTCAAGATAGTCTTTACTCACATTTAAAGCAGTATTCATTGCAAGACTGTTCTCAAGAGAAAGGAGAGCCTTCTGTTTCTCTTATTTACTTGGTTCAATGCAGTGGTGAAATTCATTTTTTTTTAAACTACCAGTTCTGTGAACGTGGCTTGGTGGGCGTCTCAGGGGAAGGATATTGCAAAATCTCCATTCCCTCCCACTCTGGGGCCAGCCAGAGGTGGTATTTGCCGGTTCTCCGAGCTACTCAAAATTGCCACTACCGGTTTTCCAGAACCTGTCAGAACCTGCTTAATTTCACCCTTGGTTCAATGTCTAAAATAAGACTACCAAATTTGGTCTGCAAAAGTCAAAATTCCACTTTGATAGCATGGACATACAGAATTCTGTTTGTTGCCACCCAGTGGTCATTAAGATCTTTCCAGCTATATATTACAATTTCTCAGGGTCTTTTTTTTATTTCCCATATATTTGAAAACAGAGAAAGTCCTTTTTAAATGAAGGTTACAGGAGGAAAATCTTTGTTGACGACTAAGACCAAAGCCAATAAATGTAGTGACTGGCATGTTGAGAATTAACAAATACTTATAATTTGCTGTCACCCAACCTTTTGTTGAATTAAATGGCTGCTAGGAATTTGCACCTTGAGCCTCTGGTGGTGGTGGGGAATGACAACCAAAGCAATGTTTTTAGGAAGGATGCAATAAAATACCCCTTCTCCCTGGCTGCTGGATTCTGTACCAATTACATTTTGGGACTAAATACAAAGGCAGTCCATGAAGCTACCATGTCACCCCATGGTAGCAGTATTCCAATATTTAAAGGGTTGCCATAAAGAAGATGGGATCACCTTATTCTCCAAAGCACATGAAGGCGGACAAGAAGTAATGGATGGAAATTAATCAAGGGGAGAAGCAACCTAGAACTAAGGAGAAATTTCCTGACTGTTAGAATAATTAATCAATAGAACAACTTGCCTCCAGAACTTATGGGTACTCCAACATTGTAAGTTTTTAAGAAGAGATGGGACAACATTTGTCTGAAATGGTATAGGGCTTCCTTCCTGAGCACAGGATTGGACTAGAAGATCTCCAAGGTCCCTTCCAACTCTGTTATTCTATTATAGTCTACTATATAGTATCTCTGAGGATTACCTGTACGTACACCACAACTTTTAAGGTATTTCCTTCCAGGATAAAACATGTTTCAGCTGAAACTGATAATCAGAAATTCTATGGATTTCCTCAGCCAGCACAAATTGAGATTCACATTTAGATATTCCTTCAGACTTCAGGCTTATTGTAAAAGAATGAACAGTAGATGTACTATCTTTCCAAAATTGTAATTACTCACAGTAGATGTATCTATCTTTCAGGGATTCAATTTAAATTCTTCATCCAACTCATTGTCAACACCAGCAGGTATTTGGAAAGAACTGAATTTTGCAGTTATTCCAGAGGATACCAGGATAATTGGTATTGAAAGCTCATGATAATTCAGTCAAAGCTAACAGAATCATGTGGCCTCAAGTGACCAGCAAGATCATTTTAATCCTAGGCTCTGCAATAAACTCAATTGAAAATGTGTCAGGATAATTGGTCTACCAGTGAAATGTAGGTGAGCTCCATTGAACCCCATCAGACTTTAATCAGCTATCGGTAGTTTATTGGTATTTTGTTTCAGTAAGAATTCATGCAGCCAATCCGTCTAAATTTAACTCAAGGACCAAAATATCAAATTTGATATAACTGAGAACAAACGTTGATATGGATTGTGTAACAAAAGTCACCATACATGATGCCTTACTTTTGAAAATTGTACATGAGTTTTCCTGAAGAAGACAATTTCAGAAAAGGCATGAATTAAACTTGTATGTGTGTGTGTGTGTGTGTGTGTGTGTGTGTTTAAATTTGGGATATACAATATTGCTAGAGTTTCAATATAGAACTATCTATTCATTAATAAAATAACTTAAAACTGCACAATCATTATGACTGAGGAAGCAGACTTTATCAATACTAAAAGCAGAACTATTATTTTGAAAAGCTGTTTACGCAGTTGTTTAATATTCAGGATAAGATTATTGTTTTTAACTGATACCATTAATTTTAAGAATATAAGCAGTCATATCTAATCATAGTTATAAATACAAAGCATTGAAAACTTCTCACAATACTGCAGATAATAAACTATCTAATAATTTGATATGATTCTTTTTCCTTTAAGGCAACTTACCATTCTCTAGAATGGGTATTGTCCTTGCAAGATATGTCTTGACCATGTTCTGAGGATGAGCCAGGAAATAATGAAAACAGCCCAAGAGAAGACGTTCTGCCTGATTTGCATACTGTATAGAAAGTGGTTAATGATTCAGTTGTTACTGGAAGTTTATTGGACTGAACTAGGTAGGCAGAGTCACTGTAGCAAAAGTGTTGCAAAACTCATTCTGAGAACACTGAAATAATGAAACAAGTATTTGCCTTCTTTGAGCCACTAGAATCTAGCCAAGTGTCCCACAGTTAAAGGAACAAAATCCATTTATAAAAATTCTGCTTGAGCTGATTACACACACACACACACAAAGATTTTCAATACCCAGAGAATATAAGAAGGAACTTTAAAAAAAACATGCTTGCTTTTTTAATCAAACAACATTGTGCAATTAGAATAAGAATAATTTATGTCACTGAGTCATAGAATGAGATGCTACATACCTAAAGCTAACTACCACTTCCTTATTTACATTAGCAAACCTTTAGAAATTACCACTCCTTATATTCCTGTATTTAATCAACTTGTTAGTTGCTAGCATGAAATCTGAGATATTTCAGTAACTTAAAATTTCAGGAATTACAATCCAGGCTCCACTATGACTCATCTGTATACTGAACTGGATGTTTATATTTGTATGAAAAATTCTTTCCAAATCACCCTGACAATGTCCTCATTTATTCAACCTCATTGTAGCAAATGTCACTTGACCTTGTAAGTTTGAAGGGCAGGGCTTTTTGGCAAGTATGAACACCTTCCTTATTCTACCATCAGTTCATAATGAAAGTATGTTTTCCCATACTTTAATCTCATGAGTACTCAGATTCTATCTATACCCAGATGCAGTTTTATAGCCTAGCATGTAGTTACATAAGATAATGTGGTTGTCTTTAATCTTGTGTCTTCTAGACTACAACTTCCAACTGTCTCTGCCATTTGACTCAGAATTTGGGGAATGAAGTCACAACATACCGGGAAAGAATCAGCTTATGGAAAGTTAGGCTAACCGATCGTTTTCCAGCTGGCAACTTTAAGATGTGTGGACGCCAACTTTCAGAATTTCACAGCAGCACACTGCATTCAGCATTCTGCTTTTAAAAATTACATAATTTTAGTGATATAATTTTGAGAGCCAGGAAATAACATTGAAGGCTGTCATGAAGAAGTAGTGTTGCTCATCTCTGGCCCAGGAGGTGTGTTTCAACATGCAAAGAGCTTTTAATTAACAATGAGGCTAAAATGCCATCAAATGTTTTCTAATCAAACATAACATGATATTTGTCCTCATTCCACTATTTCACTTTCCAACTGAAGAATGGTGAAGACCTTTATTTGCATTAATTTAGTACTATAGTGTTGGATTTGGTTATTGTCTATAGTTCTAAAAGAAATAAAAAAGTCTTAATAATGGTCCATTTCTAGGAGTAATTCTCACAAGGGAAAGAGTTGCTTCCTATGGACACCATTTACTTACTAACTTTTTATTTATTCATCAAACAAAAATTACAAATTCAACAAACAAAATTAAAGAACTAAACTCTGACAGGGATAATAGGCAGGTTACACTAGGTCCTCTTAGGAACCTCTTAAATATATGATGAGATTTACAGAAGTTAAATTAAAACTGTGGAAGTTAGTAGCTGAAACAACTGAATCAGCTAAAATATTCCAGACTTTGACAACTCTGTTGCAAAAATATTTGGTTTTTTTTTTACAATCAAGTTTAAAGTGGTTTACATTGAAGCTCTTGTTCGCAAGCATTGCATTACGATAAAAACTAAAAAAAATAATAATCTACAAGTAAACATTACTATGTACAATTTTATATGCAATACCTACTTTTGTATGCATTTTGATCACCATCCAGTCCAATGACTCCCTTACATGATATATAACGAAAAATCAACACATGACTGAAATATTAATAAGATAATTATAAGAACCCAAACTAAAAGATGTAATATAATCAAAAATAAAATATCAACAAAGTAAAGAGAATTAAAAGAAATAAATCTGCATTCATGTGCAGATTTTAAATTCAGTTAAAATAATAATATAAATCACATAATATCACATTTTGAACATCTTCCTGAAAGCCAACAAGAAGAAGATCTCTATCTGGAAACCATGGCAATTTCTCTGCCACCATGGAGAAACAGTGTCTTCTTTTATCTTTTTATGTCTCAGAAATAATAGTCAACAGTGGATAACCAATTAAATATGAGCCAATAGTGTGCGGTAGCAACTAAAGAAGCCAATGCAATTCTAAGTTGCATTAACAGAAGGATACGATCAAGATCAAGTGATACCACTCTATAAAGCCTTAGTAAGACCACACCTAAAATACAGCATCCAGTTTTAGTCACCACACTATAAAAAAAAGATGTTGAGAGTCTAGAAAGAGTGTAGAGAAGAACAACAAAGATGATTAGGTGACTGGAGACTAAAACATATGAAGAACAGTTATAGGAACTGGGCATGACTCATCTAATGAACAGAAGGACCAGGGGAAACATGATAGCAGTGTTCCCATATTTGCCACAGAGAAGAAGGGGTCAAGCTATTTTCCAAGGTGCCTGAAAGCCAGACAAGAAGTAATGAATGCAAACTGAACAAGGAGAAATTCAACCTGGAAATAAGGAGAAATTGTTTGACAGTGAGAACAATCAACCAATGGAACATCTTCAGAAGTTGTGCGGGTTTCTTCACTTTACACTTTGAAGAAGAGACTGGACTGGCCATCTATCAGAAATGGTGTAGGATTTGCTTGGGCGGTGGGTTGGACTAGATGACCTACAAGGTCCCTTCCAACTCTGTTAATCTATATCTGTATCTGATACCAACATGTTCAAGTATCACCTATACATTGTAATCTTCCTCCTATTCTTCCATTTCTTTTGGTTTTAACCATACTGCCTGATGATGATGGTGATTACGATGATGATGATGATGATGATGATGATGATGATGATGATGATGATGATGATGATCTGTATATATTCAAATAAACCAGATCACAAAATCATACCTAGATTTTTAGCTAAGCTGGGGACAATCTTTGAAAAGGAAGAGGTTATACAAGGAGAAAATCTAAATTTGGTTCAAACACTTTTATAAGTTAAATTAATTTAAATAAAATTACATTTCCATCCAATGGTGTATTTAAACATTATCCTCTTCTGTCTCTATTTGATTACGACCAGTACGGTTTGTGAACATGAGACTTGAGACTTTGGGGGAAGCTCATACTGATGCTGACCTAAGATGATAAATTATTTGAGCTGCAAACTTTTGTGAAAAATGCAAATAGTCTTTGGACAATTTTGTTATTAAAAAAACTTGTATGAAGCAAACAGCTGTTGAAAATGCACTGCATTTCTCTTCTGGGCAAGCTACTAACATGAATAATGGGCAACAGCTGTCAAAGTTAGCACAAGATCATTTGTACCTTTATCCTAATTGGAAATAGGGAAGGCAAAAAATGTCAAACAATACCAGAGACAGTAAAATCAAATTAATCATTTCAAACATCTCGGCTCTGATTTTGAAACTAAAGATTCTTTTTTTAAAAAAAATCCTAAATTTTAAAACTCTTTGTTCCGTGGGCGTTACTTTTTAAGTAGTCATTTGTTCATAATATTGAAGGCAGCTAGCCAGAAAAATGTCACAAGACCAGCCCTGACTGATCTTTAAATGATACAAGAAGTACAAGCCTGAAAGTTTATTTGAAGACAGCTTCTTGCCAAAGCTATAAACAAAGCTAAACAAATTGCAAACTAAAACCAAAAATATCAAAAAAAGTAGAACAGGCATTGGCAAATTATTATCATAATGTCACCCCCCCATAGAAAAATCCTACATGTTCCACTTATGCATTTATTTGAAGTCAGCATCAAATGGTATTTACCATTTTATCCAGAAAAAACTCTCTATGGAATGGCACAAGAGACCCTGCTGAAACAGGATGGCTTATTCTGGCTAAGGAATTCTGGGAGTTGAAGTGCACCCGTCTTAAAGTATCCAAGGTTGAGAAACACCTTTCTAGAACCTCCAACTATCCTCAGACAGCCAGGCAACTCCCATACAGGCAAGCTATATAATTATGGTACTATTTTATTCCTCAGAAACTCCCCTTATCCTGAGAGAAAACTCTATTGTTCCCTATATGGATCCAGGCACTCAAGTAAACTGCAATTCCTAGAATCCTTAGCAATATCCTTTCTATGCTGGAAAGGATATACAGGGTCTTATCTTACTCATCGGGAGGGATCCAATATTGACAAGATTGGGGTAGCTAGGTAGAATGGGCAGATTCTTTGAAAACCTTCATATATGAGGTGCAGAAATGATTCTTGGTAGTTGTAACTATTTACTATTAACTTATCCATGGTTTATCACAGAGTCATCCAGACGTTTAGAGACTGGATTTGATATTTTTATCCACGTATTCCAAGTACCTGGCATAGGACCTTGATGGTCTTAAAAGTATTGTTGTAGGATATAAGCTGTTCTAAGTAAAGCTGCCTTTTGCAATTGACTGATGGTGATTTCGTCACTGCCTATGGTGTTCAAGTGATTAGACCCAAAACACCTATTATTATTGATAATACTTTGGCTTTCTTTTGTCACAGTCATTCTACTTCTATTTGCAAGTCTTTCTATTTTGTTGTCCAGTTCTTCTTCTATCTCATTAGGGATTTGGGCAAATATTTGAAAATGATTTCCCACGATCTTGGGAACTTGGAGATGTGTGAACTTTAACACAATTCCAAGCAAGCAAGTGCAAACATCTTCAAGCTGCTAAGGACCTAGCTCTCAGCGCTCACCCAGAACTCTCATCCAACTTCAAGCACCTGCTTAATTCTGCCTGATAGCACGGCTACTTTTGGCTTTGTAGCCTCCATGTAGTGTGTGAATTTTGTCATTTCATAGAAAATGTGTTACTCTTCATTTTGCCATGTATGTGAATGAACACCTTACCAGTATGGTAGTCAATCCTGCTCATCTGTGTGAAAAATACCAGTTTACTTTCATCCTTTTAAATTTGTGGTTTTAAATGTACATTTAACTCAAAATAGTATTTGACAGGATAAAACACAAAC